CGTGGACCTTTGGGCCCTGCTTCTGAAGTGCACGGTGTCTTCACCTTTGGGGGCAAACAAGGTCAATAAGAATAGTCAATAATGATTCGGCAGTCTCTTGGACAACCCACCAACAACTCAAAAGAGGGCTTCTCATGCCTGATGCTGGGGTTTTTGTTAGATAGTCTTCTGGTCCCAATATTTTCCCTTTAAAAAAACGAAAAACTAGTAAAGGTGGTGGGAAGGAAAGATAGAAAGTGAGTGATTTCACTACAATACACACTTTTATTGGGGGGAAAATCCTGCGGGTTTGGTCTCTGATGGAAGAACCAGAGCACACCATCCCATCTACTTACGGGTACCTATGGTGCAGAACGTGGGTCGTGGTATAAGGAGATGAAAAGTTACCTATTTTTGTGTGCAGTTGGCTGTTGGTAGGGATAACCAGGGAGAGGTGAACTAAAGCATGCTGGTTTGTGAGTAAGCATCATCTCTGGCTGCCATTACTGGTGGCTGAAATGGAGAGAGGACAATAATTTCGAGAAAAAAGTTACTTTAGTTGTAAAAGCCACATTACTTTAGTTTTGGGAATTGTCACAGTTCATCCAAAGTGGAGGAACTTTACAGAAATGATGTGACTCTAGCTAACAGAACCAGGTCAAGGCCTTGGCTGGTGAGAACAAAGGCAGATCATGAAGTTTCTTTTTCATGGTAGATCAAATTTTGCTCAGTTAGAAGAAATGCATGTGAGTACGACCTGGAGGTTTCAAACCCACATGGGCTTCATTACGAGGAAAGGGGACCTCCCCCTAGTGCTCCACAGGGCCCTTGGGAACAGAAGGGGTCATGTGATTGCCACAGTTACTGGGTGAAGGTGTTGTTAACATATCCTAGATACCTAGATTTGGACACTTGTGTGGAAACATCTCATTTCCCTCCCGTATGCTAACAGCTGCTGTACAGAGAAAGGGCAGGCCAGGCCTGGCCCAGCAAGCTCAGCCTTAGGACATCATTGTAATCCTTCAGTTAGCAAGACCAAGACATAAAAACCCTAAACTGGTCCAATCTTACCTAATATTCCTTACAGTGGGGGCTTGGAACTTGGTCAGGAAGGAGATGATGAGGATGAGGAACACTGCCACCAAACACTAGAGTAAGTCACACGGAAACCAGAGAAGACACAGCAGTTGTTGACAACAAACAGGGCTCCGAGGGATTTCCAAGACACCTTTTGACTGGGAGAAGCATGATACTGAGGGTCATATAGGCTGAGGCTGAAGGAAGGCACCTGAAGGCTGAGTCTGGAGGAGAGAATGGGCCTGTGGGCTGTCAGTCACCTGCCCCTAAGATGCAGCCCCCAAATTTCACAAAATTGGAGGAACAACTCTGTTTTATGTCCTTCCTTCAGCCATAGATTTTGGCTCTGGTAGCATTGACCACTTTGTGTTTTAGAGTTCAGGCTTTTTGTCTGTTTTCTTCAGGGGAGCAGTCTGTCTCCTGGGATTAGTGAGTAATGAGCCTTGTGTGACTGACTCAGAGCTGCCCTGAAGCTCAAAGCTGTTCAGCTAGCAAGAACCTCAGATGCCCTTCGAGCAGGGTGTGGACTGCCTTAGCTGATGAGTGATAGGGGCTCTGGTGTCCCTGCTGGGACCCTGTACCCAAGTCCATAAGTAAATGATACCAAAGATCCAGCTTAGAATGCACACAGCATGTCATCGTGTAAGGTGACACAGGGTATTTGGTTTCATCTGTCTGACAGGACCCAGGCATCAGCCTGCTGCTTCAGTGTAACCAGGCACGGTATGGAAGGCCCCATAGGGCAGACTTTCCCTTCTCTGCAAACCTGGCCAACAGAAGTCTCTTCATGTCACAAAGCAGCAGGGTTCTGGTTGGGAGCGACACTATCTCCTAGTGTTTGAGGCATGCAAGAACCAGAGTTCTTTCCTGACCCTGTTGTGGGCACTTCTGTGAGTCCAAGACTTAAGGCATCAACAGACATTGGAGAAGCACTTACTAAGGGCAGGTTTCTGATGACCCTGGGATAACCACCTCATATTTTCTTCAGGACTCTCCTAGTCTACTGGGATGGCAGACACGATTAAAAAACATTTCAATGGAGTTAAACACAAAACTATAATATATAAATTAGATAAGTGCAAAACACACACACACACACACACACACACACACACACACACACAAACATGGAAGTATTAATTCTGTCTGGAGAGAAACTAGTACCAGGGATATGTCCCATAGTGTTTCATTTTTGTGGAGCCAGCCAGTGAACCTAGGGCCTTGTGAATGCTAGATAAGAGCTTTATCACCACGGAGCTTTATCCACAGCCTTCTCCACAGGGTCTTGAAGAATGATCATAAATTAGTCACATAGGCAATTATTTGCCAAAGCTTAGGAAGAAGCCAGGGTGTAGATTATAATGGACATGGTGGAGTAATGCTTACCCTGAAGTTGTGAAGGCCATGGTCCCTTCACACCCACAAGTTCTACATGCCTGGATTCAACTTTCAGGCCAAAAAATACTTTAAAACTTTCATGTATGCTGAGTACACATGGACTTTCCCCCACTTAAGTGGCACGGTACAATAACAATTTAGTGTGTTTATGCTGTAGTAAATATTATACATAGTTTAGAGGTGTTTGAAAGTGTGCGGGAAGATGTGTGTAGGTCACTTGCAGACACTACACAGTTTTACAAAAGGGGTTAGAGCACCTGCAGATTTGGTCTTTGTTAAGGTTTGGCACCACCTGTGCTTATTGAGAACAAACGTAAACCCTCATAACTGCACAGACTATGAAGTTGATGCTGTAGGCATTGGACAGTCAGGCAGTGGCCAGGTCCTGGGGGACTTTGGTGCCCTGCTAAGCAGCTGGACACACTACCAGGAAGGCAGCAGACCTGCAGTAGTGCTACAAAGTGGGTTGGAAGGATTGGAAATAGAGATTGCAATTTGCAAGGTTGGTTTTAGGAGTCACCTCAGAGGACAGTCCTGTGGTGAAAGCAGGATTAAAATTCCTGCCATAGGTCTGTGATGCCTTGAAGAGGTGCAAACAGGATCTCATATGGCTAGTCATGAAATATGTGAAGAAAAGAGAAAAACTGTGGTTTGAAAATTTGGACCATCAGCCCCTGTATCATGTGGGAACTGATCTCAAATGAAAAGTTTTGTCATGAGATGCAGCAATCTGTGGTTTTAACCAGGCCCCTTGTGCTGTTGTGTGCTCTAAAGCTTGAGAACCATGGTTCTAGGCTGCTGTCTCTATTACCAGATATAGTACTGTTCAAAAGATTTTATTTGATGCATGTCAAATCCAGTAGTTCTTGAGGTCAAGGTGGAGCTGAGCTGTGATTTCTCTACTGAAAATCGCAAACACTCAAATTCATAGTTCCCAGTGCTTGCTTCATCCCACAATTGCACCATAACTATGTGATATGGGTTAAGACACACACCCTCCTTTTTCTGGAAGTTGTAATTGCCTATTGTATCTCCTTAATCACTACAGGAGCGCTGAGATCACTGTGGGAGAGAACATGATGATGAAGCTCATCACACTTGTCCAGGGAGAAAGTGGGCAAGGGTGGGTGTCTTCTGTATAGGGTGGGAAACAAAGCCATACCTCTCCCCATTCTGACTATGGCTCAGTGAGGCTGAGAGCTCCAAGGGATCTGGATTATAAGTGAGTCTCAGTATTAATGCAATGGATTTGAGAGATGGAACAGTCCACCTGAACCCGAAGTAAGGTCCAGATGAGGGTGAGCATCTCTGAGGAAGTGCAATCTTCTTCACCTGGAGGTAGCCACACTCCTGATTCTGCCGTCTTTGATTTTCTTCTTACAGCAGAGGAAGATTTCTAGTGAAAAAACATGAGTATAGATGCCAGAGGCTGAGTTTGAATGTGTTCACAGCTTCGAGACCTCAGATACAGAATGAGATGCAGCTGAGCCACTATGGTCACACTTAGTTTTCATGAGCCCCTCCTGTCTTTCTTGTTTGTTACGAGGCCTTAGAATACATTCTACTTTGACTTTGTCTTCTGAAAAGCTCTCTCCCTGAGTTCACACATTGATATTCTTTGGATAATGGGGAGTAAATAAAGGCAAAATGAGAACCAGAGGAAAGAGTGCTGGGATGGGACTGTATGGAGAGAAGACCCCTTCTTAGCCATTGCACTCTTTCCTTGTGATTTCTTCTACCACATTATGAGGAAGCAAGACATTGGTCTTCCTAGCTTCCAGAACTTCAGAAATGGTTTCTTGCCGTTCATCAGTTATCCACTCTGTCCAATTCTGTCATGGCAACAAAACCAGTCTGAAACAGAATGCAAGAAATTGGTATATAAAATATACTCAGTTAATTTTTCCTTTTCTTTTAAAAAATTTATTATTTAGTATGTATACAGTATTCTGCCTGCATGTGTCTCTTCATGCCAGAAGAGGGTGCCAGATCCCATAATAGATGGTTGTGAACCACCATGTGGTTCCTGGGAATTGAACTCAGGACCTTCGGAAGAGCAGCCAGTGAGGGCTCCTAACCTCTGAGCCATCTCTCCAGCCCCTAAGTTTTCCTTTTCTTAAGCTATCTACTAACTTCTGCAATCTCCTTTTCCCATGTGCCCAGTGCACTGTAGTAGCTCTCCTGGGTCTTAAGTATTGCACTCCTGTCAGACTGGATCTCTACTAAGTCCCCAGCCTCTGCAATTTCTTGTCTCACTCCACCAATGATAATCTTTACCAATGCTAAGCTGGATGCTACCTTGCCATCTAATTAGAGTCCAATGCTCCAGGTGAACCTGAGAGGCCAGAGCCTTCCATGTGTAATTGTTTTGCCCCTTTGGACTCCCAAACGGGCAGAGTGAGCTCCAAGAGGATCCAGCTGGCAAGTAGAAGGAGATGGCTGGGGCAAGAAGGTACATTCGAGACTTCATCTTATGAAGAATTTTCCCTCATTTATTCCAGTGATGGAGATGTAGGGACGCTCAAGCATATGATTCATGATCTGTACTAGGAACAGGAGATATGATGGTGAATCAGATGGTCCTGACACTCAAGAATTTCAGACAAAAAGGGAAGATGGACACACAAACAGTCTATTGAGCAACTCTGCAAAGTTATAATGAAGAATAGTGAATTTGGGACATAAAAAATAGGGCATCTGGGGAGGTACCCTTGAATGAATTGATACAGGAGACCACTTCCTACACCAGTAGCACAGACACTGAGATTGACAATTAATAAATGGGACCTCCTGAAACTGAGAGGCTTCTGTAAGGCAGAGGACACAGTCAACAAGACACAACAGTAGCCCAAAGAAAAGGAAAAGATATTCACCAACCCCAAATCTGATGTAGGGCTGATTTCCAAAATACACAAATAACTCAAGAAGCTAGTCCCAAAACACCAAATAATTCCATTAAAAAGTGGGGTACAGAACTAAAGAAAATTCTCACTAGAGGAATGTAAAATGGCTGAAAGACACTTAAGAGAGTACTCAACATCCTTAGCCATCAGGGAAATACAAATCAAAACAGCTCTGAGATACCATCTTGCACCTGTCAGAATGGCTAAAATAAGAAACACCAATGACAGTTTATTCTGAAGAGGATGTGGAGAAAGGGGAACACTGCTGGTGGGAGTGCAAACTCGTACAGCCACTTTGGAAATCAGTATGGTAGTTCTTCAGGAAATTGGGAATCAGTCTACCTCAAGATCCAGCAATACACTCCTAGGCATATACCCAAAAGATGCACATTCATACAACAAGGACATCTGTTCAACCATGTTCATAGCAGCATTACTTGTAATAATAGCCAGAACCTGAAAGCAACCTAGATGTCCCTCAGCTGAAGAATGGACAAAGAAAATGTGGTACATTTACACAATGGAGTACTACTCAGCAGAAAAAATAAAAACAATTTTGCATAGAACAAAGGATTACCAGCCTACAATCCACACCTCTAGAGAAGCTAGGAAACAAAGAGGACCCTAAGAGGGACATACATGGTCCCCCAGGGAAGGGGAAAGGGACAAGATCTCCTGAGCAAATTAGGAGCATGGGGGTGGGGGTGGAGGTGGCGGAGGAGGGAGTTAGGAGATAGAGAAGGGGAGAAGTGGAGGGGGTAGGAAGATTGAGTCAGGGGAAGAATAGAGGAGAGCAAGAAAGAGATACCTTAATTATAGGTTTAAGACATTTATAGCCATTATAGGTTTAAGGAGAAATCTGGCACTAGGGATATGTCCAGAAATATACTAGGATGACCCCAAATAGGAATCTAAGCAATAGTGGAGAGGCTACCTTAAATGCCCTTCCCCTATAATGAGATTGATGGCTACCTTAAATGCCATCCTAAAGCCTTCATCCAGTAGCTGATGGAAGCAGAAGCAGAGACCCACAGCTAAACACTGAGCAGAATTTCTGGAATCCAGTTGCAGAGAGGGAGGAGTGATGAGCAAAGGGGTCAAGACCATTCTGGGGAAACCCACAGAAACAGCTGACCTAAACAAGGGGGAGCTCATGGACCCCATACTGACAGCTTGGAAACCAGCATAGGACCGACCCAAATCCCCTCATCATGGGTGTCAGGAGGCCTGGGCAGTCTATGGGGCCTCTGGCAGTGGATCAGTACTTATCCCTAATGTATGAATGGACATTGGGAGCCCATTCCCCATGGAGGGATACTCTTTCAGCCTAGACACACGGGGGAGGGCCTAGGCCCTGCTCTAAATGATGTGACAGACTTTGATGATCTCCAAATAGAAGGCCTCACCCTTTTCATGGAGCAGAAGGGGTATGGGTTGGGAGTCAGTGGGAGGCATTTGAGGATGGAAGGGATATGGTACTGAGATTGATATATAAAATAAGATTGTTTCTAATTTAAATTAATAAAAGGAAAAAAATAATAGGGTGTCTGAATCAAGAGAACCAACAGAGAAGTTTCATTGGGAAAGTTTGAGTCCTGAAAGATGACCTTTTTCTTTTTTATTTATTCTTCTCTCATAAATTACATCCCAACCGCAGATTCCCCTCCCTCCTCTCCTCCAAGTCACTCCCCTATAACTCCCTTTCCCCCCAGATCCACTCCTCTGTTTCCTTTCAGAAAAGAGGAGGCCTCCCAGGGATATCAACCAAACACGGCATAATAAGTTACAGTAAGATTAGGG